CATTACGTCTGATTCAAGAGGACCGTAATAATAGTATAACACTTGAAGATGCGAAAGAAATTTTAAATGATAGTATTGAATTTGGAGTTTATATGCATAGCAATGAAATAGATGATTGATTAATACTATTGTCTTTTAGTTGTAATAAAGACAAATTTTGAGAAAATAAGGATTAAATTTATGACATATGAATGTTGGCAATTCTTTGTTTTAAATGGCTTAATAAAAATATACAAGAAACAGTAAATAGTAAGGAAACAAAAATAACGATTAATAAGTTTAATAATTTGAAATTATTTAGTGGGTTATTAAAAATAAAGTCTCTGATATGCAAACGCAAGATACAGTATGTCGAATTTATGCATGTGACCATATGATACTATCGAATAATCAAAAATGATACATTTTTTTTCAATAATCAAAAATGATAGAATTTTTTTTTCAATAATCAAAAATGATACATTTATTTTTTCAATAATCAAAAATGATACATTTATTTTTTCAATAATCAAAAACGATACAACAGTTTGTACAACTAACTTCTATAATCAAAAAGCATCATCTCCTTAATCAAAAACGATATATTTGCTAATAGACCAATTCGCTTCAGATGAAATGGAAAGGTTTTGGCTAAATTCAAAAAATATCCAGGAATCTACTGTTACTGGATGCGAAGCGTTTCCTGGTGAAATGTTAAGACCTACTTCTGAAAATGTAGTATTATTACAATCTATGCTCGATTTAATGATCGATTATTATATTGCTATATATGAAATGTATAATTTCCGAAAACCATCTGATGCTATAGAGCAAAATGCGATAACTATTCATGTAAAAATGGATAAATTTGGAAGATGTCATATTGGATCTGAGGTGTTTGGCTCTGCGTTGTCATTTCGACATATAAAAAGTTCATATGTATTAGCCAAATTCATAACGACTGATGGAGAAGTCAATCGTTATCCTGGACAAGTCCAGTATTATTTCAAGCATGAAATTGTATCATTTTAGTATTGATGATACTGAAGAAACGGAAACATGCAATGTTGAATTATGGAAAACAGATTTTTTTCCTGAAAGTAGGGATTGTATTATTCCAGTACACAACATTCTTTGCCGATTTGTGCCCGCTAAATATAAAATTTCTTCTAACCGTAACGCAACTGAATATTTAGCGATAAATCCATTAAATCGCAAGTTTTACATTCGGTAATTTACTAAAAGCTACAGAATTTTTCTTTACAATAATTGTTTAACGAATTTTATGGAATTGGTTATTTAATAATAAATAATACGAATAAATTGATTTACAATAAAATTTGACGAATCTTTAACTTCAGTGTTTTCTTATTTTACTTATATGTCATTATTATTTATTGATATTAATTAAAATTAATTAAAAAATCGGTTAAAAATTGTCAAAAAAGTTTTAAGTCGATCGTTGTTATTAATAAAAATCGATAAAAAAGAAGTATTGGTCGATTTATGGTTTTTTTTATGTTACAGCTCAACCAAAAATCGACCAAAAATCGACCAGTTGATTTATGCTGAAATTTTTCCAAATTTTGTAATTAGCCGAATGTGTGACAAATCACGTGATGATGATGACGAACTTTTGACGAAAGGTATTAATGCCGAAAGAAATGATTTTGACCAGTGTTAGCTTTTTACTACAACTACAACATGCTTCTGATTATGAATACATGTAACTACTTTACCATTATATACTACCTAACTATGTAATCATATTTTTTTTTCATGACTACATGAGTACGTGAGCACAAAAATATAATTGACTACATTACCTATCATGTACTTATGTAGTTATGTAATCATAGACTACCTCAGCGTACCCTACAAAAATGTCATGAAACGGCCGGCATTAAGAGATTAAGAAATTAAACTATGTGACAAATAATGTGTGACAAATAGGATTTTATACTCGAAAAAATTCAAAGTCCCTCAGATACTTATGAACAAGGAAGGGTGTGGCGCATGTGACAAAAACAGTCACGTGATTTTTTCGTGACATTTTTGTAAGTAAAATTTACGTATAATGTAGTCGCTTTGCAGTATTGTGCTTACATGAGTCTATGACTACGGGATATCTATGACTACGTGGGAGTACGTGATATCATGTACTCGTAGTCACAACTGTATTGTAGTTGTAGTAATTAAATATATAATCTTTTGTGACTGTGTGGAAGATCTCATGTGATAATTTAGCCGAATTTAACCGAATCACGAGAAACATTATGTTCGGGAACGTAATCAGTGAAATTGCTAAAACTAACTACTATAATGGTTTTAAATTCTATAGTAGTTATGATCCAATAATAATATTAATTTTATTATATTATGCTAATACATAATAACTGATAATGAATAATATTATATTGTAATAAAAAAATCAAAAAAAAAAACAATATTGGTATCGTTAAATTATAATTATTAATTCTTAACCCTAGCATCTCTTTTCTTCTTCCAAGCTTCAATAATAATATTTTTAACCTTTTCCTCAGCGGCTTCTAACCAATTTTGTTTGGCTAATTTAATCATTAAGTCAATTTCCTCTTCATTGTAGGTAAACTTAGTCATAAAATATTCGACACAAGGCGCGAAATTTTTCTTGACCTTATCATTAGGTAAATAAGGTATATAGCAAAGTGTGCAAGGGTGAGCGGCGGAGGGTCCATCACTTTCCACATTTGGTAAGTAATTATAAATTTCACAATATTTACTTTCCAAATCACGTTCTTCGATTTTTATTCCTTTACGTGATGCAAGCTCTTCTTGTTTTTTTACAAAATCTTCGTGTTTATTTACTGTACCTGAAGAATCAAATGCTATGATTACATCCACTTTTCTACTTGAATGTACCAATGGATATAATGGCAAGTCGTTTGATACTCCAGAATCGAGTAATTCAAATCTTAATTTGCTAACCATAAATCCATGATAATGATTGTCTGCTGGCAGAAATATACTTGTTTCTTCAATTTTATCCTTCATATCGTCTCCTACAAGAACGGAAAACTTTAAATAGAGAGAAGAGATTTAGATGTGTTATGCGTATAAGACAAAAGAATTTTTATTACGAAACATACATCAGAATATAATTCAATCAATTTCTCCTTTGCCCAACCATCAGTTGCAACCTGTTTAAAAGTTTCAAGATATTCTTTAAAAGGTGCACATGGTGCTGAGCCAAACATTCTATGAAAAAATAGGGGAGGAAAAATATAAATTTATTGAAAAAGTAACAATTTAACCTTTATACATTTATATACTTACCCAAGTAACTGACTAATATTTTGTTCCGGTACTCGATTAACACTCTTTCCGGATTTAAATTCACGTCCAAAAGACCACGTGGGTATCCATGCTAAAAAAAAAAAATAAATGAAAAATATAAGTTGGTAGAAAATTGTCAAAATTTTTTATCGCTCAAAAATAAAGTTGTCTTACCACCATGTTCTTCACTACCAATTTCAAATGGCGTAAATTCATACCAATCGTAATGTTTTTTTAATCCCACTTTCTCTGTTTCCGCTTTATGTGATTCCACCCTAAATTAGGTTAAAATTTTAGATACTTTTCCCTTTAACACCATCTTAAAAATACGTACGCAGTGTATATAGGCATCATTTTCTTGCCATCTTTAAAAAATCGTTTTTGTTGACTTAATTTAAAATCCTGACGTTGGGGTTCCAGATCTTTCTCAAGTAATAGCTTGGCAGTTAATAAAGATCCAAAGGTATCAATTACTCTTGCTTTCAAATTTGCATGTTCTTTTTCAACCAATCCACCAAATGACAACTCAATCGCTGTTTCAAGTTGTGAAGTTTTTGATATTTCTTTTAAAAAGCCGAATGGATTTGCTATATGATCCGTTAAACGAATTTTAAAATCATCTAATAAATCTTGGATAGGATTGTCTTTTGTAGCGTGTAATGAAGAATATTGTTGCGCTAAACTCAAACAACATCCACTTACTCCTAAAAAAATATAATGGTGCGATTATTAAATGGAATAAAATAAACTTAATGATCTTTGGACTGGTTTATTAACTTACCAGCGAAATAAGTACCACAATCATATAATCCGGAGTCTTGCGTTGCTCTTATATAAGCTAGATAAAAATTTTTAAACTCTTAATCAATAAAACATTAGAACATCTTTTTTTCCTTTTACCTGTGTTGGCAATCATAGCTCTAAATCCGCCACCACTTCCAGCAAACGCAATTACAGGGATATCATCAACATCAATTTCTTTAACATCAACTCCAACATATTTTGCAAAACTTTCTTTTATATATTCTTTCCTCACTTTCAGAAAATCTTCTTCTTCTTTACATAAATCATTAGATTTTCTAATTTCTACATCCTCTTTAATTTCAGGATGAACTAATTCATCTTTAAATTTATCCTTAACTGTTGATTCTAATTTACTAAATGCATTAATAATATCAGAAAGATTTGAAATGCTTTTAACTGTACTTGTAGCTACTTCCATAGCTGCATTTTCAACATTTTCAACTATATCAGTCACTGCATCAGCTGCTTCAGCTACAATAGCCGCATTGGCTATATTTCCAGCTGCACTTTCAGCCACACTAGCTACATTTTCAGCTGCATTTTCAGCTGCATTTTCAGCTACACTAGCTATATTTCCAACTGCATGCATAGTTCGATCAAGTACACCAGATTCTGTTGTTTCCGCTGTTGTGGTAGTATTTTCATCTTTATCTTTGTTGGTTCCTGTTTTTCCATTAATGATGTATCTGCCTTTTTCCTTCGTTCTGGAATAATTAAATGAAAAAAAAATGCATTTAAAATTTCTTGATCCATTTCAACGAAAAATCATGTATATTATAAATACCCTTCTTTATCCGGGCTTATTTGCGAAAATATGTTAGAAAACCATGAATTTTTTTTGCTTCTGGAATAAATTCAATAAAAAAAAAGTTTTAGGAAATTCCTTGGTCAATTTGACGAAAAATTTATAAATACCCTTTGTCGGCCATGTTATTTAATCAATGCCTGATTAAATAAAAAAGAGAATGATGAAAAATTTTTTTTAGGGTATATTTATGTAAAAAATTTCTCGCGACTGTCGATCATCATCTCGCTGCATGACGCATATTTAATGTAATCCTTATCATAATCAGTGATGTACACTTGGAAGTTTGGAAGCACTTTTGGAAGCACTTTTGGAAAGATTGGAAACATAATTTTATAATAAATTTATTTGGATTGGAAGCTTCTAATCAAATTTTTGTACTAATTGGAGAACATCACTGCTTATGTTAATTTTCAATGAGTATTTTTTTTAGTCCGAGACATCACTGCTTATGTTAATTCTCAATGGGTATTTTTTTTAGTCCGAGACATCACTGCTTATGTTAATTCTCAATGAGTATTTTTTTTTAGTCAAGAAGCATGAAGGGCCCACAAAAAAAGCCTAGGTAGTACAATTGGAAGGGTTGCAGTTTTTAATAATTGATAAACTGATCATCTAAATTAAAACCGGTTAAAAGATAGATTAGATTTACAATATTATGTAAAAAAAAAAAAAAAAATATTATATATATCATGTATACACAAACAAAGTAAAAAATTGAGAAAAAATGAATAGGAAATTTGTAACTATTATTGCTATCATAACAGTTTCTGTTTTATTTCTAATATTGTTAATAAGTTCTGGAGGAGATGCAGGAAGGATACATATACCACAAGACAATGGAACTCACACCGGATTACCTGTTTGGCATCCTCCTATGGAAGGATACGACTACCAAAAAGTACAAGCAACGGTTATTTTCTCGGCGATAATGATGACCATTGGAGCGCACCTTTCATTTAAATGGACAAGCAAAGTTTCCAAAGAGTTTATAACATATTTCGTTGATGGGGAAGCAAACAGAACTCCTACTATTGAATTTGATCGTTTATTAGGATGGTATTCAGCAATTACATCCATAACGGGAATCGTAAATTTTATGGTTGATGTTGGTAAACTTTGGGTTACGGTTGGAGTATTACATAATGCCGTCGAAGTTACTATTTTATATACTTTGCATCAAGGAGGAAAGATTAAGTCTACAACAATTCCAGCTTGGATACTTTCATATATTATGCTTGCTGCGAGCTTAAGTTTCTTTTTAGATTGGCCTTTTGATGCACTTTGGTTTAAAATGCAAGGACTTGTTATTGATTACATATTATTCATTCAGTTTACACGTATGTACTTTGATACGCATAAAGGGTTCGGTGACGAAACTCAACGACTTGTTGATGTAGAAAGTACGAGCCGTGACCACTCAAGTGTAGAAAGTGATATTAATGATAAACCCGTTGGATATTTCCGTCCTCGTTATATTTTACTATTAGTGTTTGCTTCTTTCTTTCATATTTTTGGAAATGTTTATGTTACAATTTTGTTGTATAGCTCTCACGCATATCTTCTATTTGTCTTTTCTTATTGTATCACATTCCCCCTCTACACTTATTTTGTTTATTTAGATACTCATACAGTATCTATTTCTCCTGCTCAAAAACATATTGTATTACCTGATTCGAGTAAATTAAGTGTTATTTTTGTAATTTTACTCGCTCTTTTCCTTTCTGCTTTAACTGGAAAAATAAGTGTAATTTATCAAGGTTTTCATTAGTTGTTTGTTTTATTCTTAAATTATATCTTGGCGATAAGCAATTTATAGTTTTTTTTTTTATCTTATTATATATTTTTTTAAAATGATATCGAAAGAAATATTTAAAAATAAATGTATTGGATAATTTAACGTTAATGGATTATCTATCAGGCGTAATATTGCAAAAATTTAAAAATTTAACAAAATACTTTTCCGCAAACTTACGAAATATTATCCACGTAATTTCGTAATACTTCGAATTATTTATGCTTACGTTTTTTTCTGAAAGTTTACAGGACTTTCCGTAAAGCATAATATTTTCGTAAATTATAAATTTAATTATGATAAATATTGTTTAATACTTAGTGGGATTGCCGCGGGCAGGGATTTTTTTTTCTATATATCGGTACACTCACTCATCTTCACTCCAAAGTCTCACCTCAGTTTTTTTTCATTTTTTGCGTCAATTCAGTTTGCGTACATATTGTTTGACATTAAACACCATATTGTTTGAATTTGAAGTACAAAGCATTTGGGATCCACCCGTTATTTTGCTATACAAACTTGCCTTTTTGAATTGATCGGGTCCTAATACAGAATCCAAATCAGAAAATAATTATTATTTATGTAAGGTCTAAATGACCAATAATATTTTTCATTGAAAATTCCCAAATCAGTTAAACTAAGAACTTGTGAGCTAACCATATAGTTAGTGATGACAATGCAAGATTACATGCGATGTACAAAATTCTAAATAATTGGTTTATTCCTATTTTGTAAATATTAACTAATGTACTTTGAGGCTAAAACCAGCCATGATTAGCACCGAGACTATTTTAGTAAAAACAAAGCCTCTTGCCATTTTCTTTTTATCAAAAAAATTTTTTCGAAAATTACATTATCATTATAAATAACGATAACCAAATATTTCGGATTTAAAAAAAAAATAATTTTTCTAAAAAGGGAAATTTTACACTATTTGAATTTTAACTAAATATGGAAATTTATTTCCACTTCGTCAAACTGTTTGACAGTATAAAGGTAAAGTTAAACTGTTTGGTAGTATTACAAAGTATTTGACAGTAAATCATTTGAATTTCATAGTTAACCTTAAATGTCAAACAACTTAGAATGAAAATATGTCGAATGTACACTTATTTTCATGCAGTCGGCAGTCGTACAGTCGCACAGATGACAATCATTTTTGCATTGGTGATTGTTTATTTTTCGGAAAATATATGCGCTATGGGTCGCACAAATGTATCAATTCAAAGTAAAATTCTTTATTATATTTTTCATAAAGAGAAAGGACCGGTCGGATAAGTAAAAGTGAGGATGGAATAATTAAGCAATAAAAAAAATATATAGGTTTCGTATATGTGTATAGTGGCGTATTGTGGTTGTGCAACAGAAAACTCTAGACTTTCCGCAACATTCTTGCTCACGAAAGAGATTACATTCTGGAAATCAATAAATGAGAAAGAACTCTAACCAAATCATCTGCGCACATTGGGATAACACAAATAGAATACGATAAAAAAATGCAGTAAGTGGTGATGACAGGAAACTTAATCGGAGAAGTCATATCGGTCACGTCGAAATGGAAACATGTGGGATATTTAACGAAGCTGAAGATCACGCCTCAATATATGGTGAAATGCTATGATATTTTGGTAATGAATAAAGATGCACCACGCAATTTCCTTTATTGTTGTGTACCATACTATGTGTTTGTGTGTCATTTTACATACTAAATTTTTCCATAATAATAAAAGCCTGTTTTAAAAATATATATATATATTTATTTTTTTACGATCATTAAACTTGAATAAATTTTTGAGTTTCGCAAACGTAGATTTTTATTCAACTTAATCAAATGATTATCTGTCAGATTATAATTTTTTTTCGGCTAATTTAATAATGATTCGGTTATTATATTCCCTTTTTTTTTTACTACGTGAATCATCATTCGTCATAATTTGTTTATGCTTTAATAATTTACAGAATTATGGCTTTTTTAACCATATGAAATTTAACCTTTTATGTCAATTATTACGAAAGTTTGAAAAATCGGCATCACGGGAAATATTTTTTTTGGACATTTTAAATCATTTATAAATATTTCTCTACCCTTAATATTAGTGCATTGCATACATAAATTTACGTTGAATTTATGACTCTCTTTATTAACATCGCAGATAATTTATTACTTTATAGTATTAGTAAAAATTTTGACCAGCTTCACTCATGTTACAATTCAATTTATTTATACACATGTTATTAATATATAAAGGTAGCACCATTGAATTTTCTATTTTTTATTGGTAACTGGAAATCAACTTTGAATTAGATAGTGTAACACTTCTCCAAATATGTCATTTCTAATTATAAACTGCGATTAAACATGTTTAAAAATCCTAAATAAATAGCCAATAGAAATTATGATCTTTTTTTATAAACTAAGATCATAATTACTATTGGCTAATTTATTATGTATAGATTTTAGGATATTTAACCATGCTCTACGATTAGCTATACCAAAGGTAGGTAGATTATGTGGGTTAAAAATTCTTTGTTGTTCGTTCACTGAAACAAATTTGGTCCTATTATTCAATATCATGCTGTACGGCAAAAGTATTGGACTTGACCCTTCTGGGGGTGTCATATATTTTACAATACTCTATGAATAGGATTGACAACATGCATGCAGGAGGGTCAAGTTAGCACCACGCCAGGCACTATAGATAATCACGATAATCACTAGGTTAGATTATTTATCGTGAACCGCGTAAAAAAAGTTATTTGAAACATTAACTGGTTACACGCTGTGCTGTGTGTAAGGATGGTCATCGGTCCTACCGGTCCTACTCGGTCCTGGACCAGTCAGTCCCAGGACTTGTAGGACTGGACCACAGTCTTGCATTTTTTTGTGGCACAGTAAGACCGGTCTTCATATAATAAATGATTTTTATATTGAATAAACCTATTAATCTGACAAAGGTCTTCATAAAATAATATAAAGACCGGCCATTTCCAAACCAATAAATAATGACAATCACTCTTCCCACTTGTAAAGTTGTTTGTCAAAACGCTGAAACTCCGAAACTCCAAAAAAAGCATTTAAGCGAAATATCTCGTCATCCAGTGATCATAAAAGAATGAAACTACCACCATTCGAATCGTCTCAGTGAGATGTGTCAAATGGTAACTAAATCATGATTTTGATACCATTTGATGTGCCGCAGTGAGATGATTCGAATGGTGGTAAAATCATCCTTTTACAATCACTGGATAGCGAGATATTGTGTTTTGAAGTATTTTTTCTCAAAGCTTTAAATTTTGCATGATGTTGTGATGATATCCAGGTGATTTGTAAAAAAAAAATTTATATTAAAAATCATCCCAATTAGTGTTCATTTATAAAACAAGGCTATTCCTAATAAAGTTACTAGGGAAGAAAATCTTTTTTTATTTGCAAAAAAAAGAAAAAAGACTGATCGGTTTTAAAAAGACTGCGATCCTTAAAAAGACTGATCGGTCTTAAAAAAACTGCGGTCCTTAAAAAGACCAACGGTTAGGGATGGTAAAGTCCTAGGTCCTGGACCTAAAGACCTGGTCCTAGGACCTGGTCTGCAGATCTTTAGGTCCAAATTTTGGACCAGAAGCGGACCAGGTCCTAAAAAGTCCTAGCCAATAAGGTTATAAGAGATCTATATGTTTA